TCCAAGGGTTGGAAGCGGAGACCCAGCAGCAACTTAACTACGACTTTCCCCAGCTCTGAGCCTCAGTTTTCTCATCTGAGTGATGGGGACCGAAAAAGCTCCTCGACTTCCGCCACAGGACGCCAGTGAGGATAAAATGAGGTGGGAGAAGTGAACATATTTCTAAGGCGACGATCCCCTGAGTATCTGGGTAAGCGCCCTGGGAAGGAGCTCCCCTCAGGAAGACAGGAAAATGGTGGAAGAGAAATGGCCTCCAGGGGTTACACAGGAAAATGCCAGGTGACAAAAGTCCCCTTTCCAGCTCTAGTGTCTGGCAGCCCTCTCCCAAGCACCCCAAACAGGGAGAGGGCAGCGCACATGTGGTCCACACCTCCTTCTCCAAATCCCTCCCAAACTCTGACCAAAAGGCAGAAGAGGACACTGGAATCTGTTGCCACAGTGTGGACACTGGCCTGGGATCCTATGTGTCGTTTATTGGCTTCTGATCTGGAGCCGGGGCTCCAGGAGCTGCATTCATGCACTTGGGTGAATTATTCAAAGAAGCAGCAAGTCTAAATGAGGGTTTGAAGTGAATCCACTATGTTCACTTTCTCTGAAATTGGGGGGAATAAAATCGTCAACCTACAAAGTTTCCTTCGGTTCCGAGAATCTTTGCTTTTCAGATCTGGGGAGAACATCAGTTTTAAACATCACCCTTACTCCTCAAAACTCTTCACATTAAACCACCAGCGCTGCATACTGGTTTATGACGTCCGGGCAAGCTACATAATCTAAAACTAGATTATCTCCAACTGCAGACAAGCAGGGAAGTATTCTTATCTGTGCAAGGAGCCAGATACCTGCCATCAGGTGCCTCTCTGGGTGTCTGGACTTGTTTGGGGCACACAGATCTGACTCCCCTGATGGTCGTCAGTTTGAAGGAGGAACGTAGAAACACTCAAAGACGCACACAAAGAAAACTTAATGAAATCAAGCGTGTCCAGCCCGGCCGCTGGCTTTTGAGGCATGGCTTCTGATGTCTCTTTGCAGGGAAACAGTGAAGTGACTTTCACCCTTGAATTTAGGGAATGACAGAGAGAGATGCAGGCTGGGGCCAGAGCCTGCATGGGATGGGCTTGTTCTGGCGGCTGATTTAAATTCTGTCTTCACCACACAAAGCTGTCTGGGAATGGGCAGGATCTTTCCGAAATGCAGTCCACACCCTCTGGCCTTCCTGCACACAGGGCCACCTTTGCTGGGTGACTCAGGGTACCATGTGAGCCATAATTATTGGCTTAGGCTGAGCGGGGGATGCCCTTGGAGCTCTCCCAGTGACACTACCTACCCTGCACAGACAGGCTCCGGCTCCTGGGGTGCTGCTCCCGGCCTGTCGGTGGAGATTCCAGCAGCAGGACACTGCCTGGCCACCTCTCCTTCCTGTGGTCAGCACCCCCACTCACAGCCCCCCACGCCCCCAGACCTGAAGCCCACGCAGGCTAAACTTGTGTGCAGATAAGAGTCGATAGGCTCAGTTGGGCTTATCTGTGTCTCTGTGCCGTGAAGACCTCGAATGAGGGGTATTTGTACACTTCAGGGCTCTCCTATGGGTTTGGGGTGACACATGGTTTCCGGCTCTGAATAAGCCACGGATCCCTGCACTAAAACTCCAGGGCCGAGGGATCACTCACAAGGGCACCATTTCTCATCCTCACATCCAATCCATCCTCAAGGCCACCTCCCGAGTGTCTCCTTCGTTCCGTCTCCATGGCCACCACCATCACTATCTCCTGCCTCCTAACGAGTGTTTCCCCCCTGAGTCTTTTCATACTCGATTTCCTTTGCCTGGAACCTTACAGGTTGAACTAGCTCGTTTTCCTCTAGAACGTCGAGTCTTGAGCAGGCTTTCTGGGGCCACCTGCTTCTGTGTCTTGGAGCCTTCCCAGCTCTCCTCCCAGCTGGTGGGTGGCTTGGAGCAAGTCCCTCATCTCTCTGGGCCTTAGTTTCCCGTCTGTAATAACAGTACCCACCCCTAGGGTTGTTCCACGA